TTTAATTAAAGTGAGCGCCGTCTAATTAACGTGTAACGTACGTTTTACTCTTACGAGAACACAATGTCAATTAAGAAAATTACAAAACACGCTGTTACTTATTTATCAAACGTATCGATAAAAACGATCGGACACGCTGTTCGAATGGATTTTTCGTATGGATCAAAAAGATAGTCGAACATAGTAGCAAAATGATATCGATGTCGCTTCGTAAACTTTCGATAACTGGAGAGTTAAAAATAATTTCGCACGCGTTTAAGATGGAGGAATGTTTTTATAAGAGCGTTAGGTCAACGTACGACAAACGCGGATAATAAAAATAAATCGTAGTTTACGGAATACAAGCTGCAAGGGAAAACAATCGTATCGATAGATTCGAGAGTTCGAGAAAAGTTCGATCGCGAAAAACACTTACACGATGTTGAATGTGTGAAATAAAACGAAATCACCGCTGGAAGGTGGCCAAATGGAGTATGGATTTTTAATTGCCGCGAGGTGAAACGGAACCGCGGCAACGTTACCGGAAAAAAATACGGGATCGAGTGTAATGCGGTGGTCAGAGTTTAACCCTTTCGTTGCTATTGAAAAATTCGATTAAACAAGTGGGCCACAGATATTCAATTAATATATGCTATAAAGACAACACGCGTGCACGCGTTATATCGAGCTGAATTTAATAAATGAATGTACAAAAGCCTTATTATCTTCTATCATTTTTGTAGAACAAAACAGAATCGGGCATGGTCGATTATCCCGTAGATGGCCTGTCTTAACTAAATGACGATAAATTGACGGGGATACGGAAAGAGTCAACGGCAAGGGTTAGCAGGGGAAAGACTGCATAACCGATTGCAGTCAACTTGTAATTTCGAGACACACGAACGTTACGCGTCGACAAACGATAAATAAACCTGACCACCGATCGGAGAACAGTGCTGGCAATCGATAACGACTCGCTCTTTGATTAATTACGGAGACACACGCGATCATCGGTACGAATTAACTATTTCAGCTATTTTCAAATTGAACTCGATTGCGGTACAAATGTCGTTATACCAATTAACAGTTTCCGTAACTTGATAAAATGAACATTTTAATTTGTGCTTTTACGAGTAACGAATTCGCTCAAACAAATAGCTATACAAAGGAAATACACTCAGAACTGGTCGACAGTTTGAAAGTGACGCGAACATTAGACATTAGAAATTGATTTCGTAAATTGTCGTCAACGTTATTACAGAAAGTAGTCTATAACCGCGTAAAATAGAATGGTTTATTCGTGGAAAAATTTGAAGAACGTTCCTAGATTATTATACCTCCCGTCACGGATTCACATCGACACCCAACTAGAATATTTTTAGATGACCACGGTATGTGGCATCGACGATTATACCACCGCTGCGAACAGCTATCCAAAGAAAAGATCTCCTGGACGACGGCGATGGAGAAGAAAAAACGGATTACGGGTTGTCCGAGAGGCAGGCTCGAGAAATCCCGCGGATTTCGAACCCTCTCTTTCTCTCGCTCTCTTTCCGTTTCGCTTACCCTTCTCGGGATGTTGGTTACGGTCCCACGGGAAATCGGTCTAAACGGGCTTGTCCAGAACAGGTTTTCGAGGATCACCACCACGTTCCGAAGAGTAGCCGTTTCGTATGACCGTGACAAATCGTCGTCGCCTCGAGTCTAACGCTTCGAGACTATCAATCACCATGAGAGATATTCAAATGGAAGTGCACTCCATTAAAAATAAATCCTCCGTGCGCGTATGAAAACGATCAAAATCATTGACTGTTTCGGCACGTTGCAATGCGTGCAGTAACTTTTTGTGTATACTAGGCGAATTAAAAAAAGGAGAAAGGAAATCGTCTACGATAAAAATGGGCATTAGGGGAATTTTTTAATACGATACGTTAAATAAACTTAGCTGTTTGAACATTTTACACGTTGAAATTGTAAAGATTACAATAATCGCGAATACGTAATTTGTTACGCTTTTCCTCCATTTTATTTCAAAATTTCTTTATGCCTTTAATAAACGCCGTGGACCACCGGTGACCCACATGGCACAAAACTTGTTAAGCTGGCGCCACAATACGACGAAAACCAAACGGTCTGCTCAAGCACCTCAAATAACACCGGTCGTGTTTGTTTGGATTACGTTACACACTGGTGTAAGACAGTGGCCTGATACGTCTCTGGTTTGTGGTAAAAAAATTTGCGTAAAAAATAGATTTTCCGTATCCTCGTTATACTTCCATGTGCTCTATACGTACAGTCCAGTCCCGAGTTGCGGGCATATAAGAAAGTGTTATTATACCTTCGAATCCAGATTGTTTAATAAAGATCGAACTAATCGGAAGGTATAAACGTTGAATCGCTCGTTGAACGCGATAAAAATCAAGCGTAACGTTTGTAATGTCAGTCGCAAGCTGCAACAACGTTCATTGGAAGCGAATGAGAGAAACAAGAGAGTAAAAAGAAAAAAATGTCGAACAGGGAGAAATCTGACTCGGTACGGCCCTGATCCGAAGTTATCCGAGCTCCACGAGAGAGCCGATTATATTAAATGGCTGGTAAAACGGTCTGCTTAACATAGCGTTTATCTGCTCCTCTTGGTTTTAGTACTTTTTCACTGCCTCGTCAGCCATTGCCCATAAACTCTGCTACAAGCCTTTGCCTCTCTTTCTCTCTTCATCCCCTGTCGCTTGCCCTCTCGCTACCCTCTATACATTTTTCACCGTACCTTCGCGTCTGACCTATGCCAGTATACACACGGCACACACGCGCGTAAACGCGAGTGTATACTTAGAGAGGTTCATAAAGAATACAGAACCATTAAAACGATTCATCCGCTCGAGTGAGCCCATCATACTTTGACGCCTTTTTTGTTTACGCGTGCATCTTCTTTTTCACGCTCTTCACTTCGCTACACGCTTTCTCGATCTCCTTTGCCTTACGATCTTCCTAATCATCGTTATACGAGAGTAGATACAACGTGTCACCGTCTAATGGCTCGTCCGTTATTATTTTCTTTTAGCAGTTTTTCGACTACGCGCAACAAAGATTTCAAGTTTCGAATAATAAATTACGATGACCCTTAGAACTGGACATACATACACGGCGTGCATAACGGAATGGTTATGTCCGTTATTTCCTGCACACATGTTCCGACGAAGAAAATTACTGTAAAACTGCGAACAACCGATACGTAGTCAACAATTACCAGAACCTTGAATCTCCAATTATGCTGTAACGATATAGCTAACACACGTGCGTTGCCTAGCTCATTATCAACGTACGTATACTTCGAGCACGAGTCAACTAACATAGAAAATGAATTTTAAAAAAACTTATACGCGTTTAAATGGATCTAGAAGAAATTCATTCCTACCTTTCTCGGTGCATAAATATGAAAAAGAAACATCGTTTTCGACGACTAAAGGCTACCTTTCGTCGCCCCCTCGAATTTTATCGAAGAAACGTATACAACGGACGATGTACGTGAAACGTCGTCGAACCTTCGACCAGCACAATACCACCCTCCTTGCGGAAAAGAAGGAAACTGGCGAACCGATGGAGTTTGCAAGAGCGGTAGAGAGACGAGAAAGAAAAATATGTGAAGAAACTAGATATACAGGGTGTTCGCGATCGACTGGAATTCCAAAATTTCGCCATTCGAAACTTTCAAATTATTTATAGCAAACTACCGGACTTGGTAGGAATAAAGTTCCTGCACGATCTTTCATACAATTTTTCCCGCTCCTCGGTCGAGTGTTACTCACACAGCAGAGTAGTACGATAGGTGAAAAAATATCGTGATCGTATCGCGTTAATGCGAACACCCAGTATACTTTAGGAGGGAACGACGCGAAAGAGGGTGGCTTAGCACGAGGGGCGTGGTGCCCCACCACCCCCATCAAACGAGCAGGCAGAGAAACTACTTTTGGGGTAGCCGACCAACGCACACCACCTTCTCCACCACCCCACCGCCTCGAACCCCCTCCTGTTCTGCCGTTTCGAGTCGAGCCAAACCACCCCTAGTACCCCAAAAATAATTGCGCGTTTCGTGGTCTCTTGATCCGCGCGTAAAAGTAATCCAAACATCGCATAAAAATTATGTTTACGAGTTTCGAATGGGTACAGGGGTCGGGTCCAACCCTCTTGCAGGGTGCTAGACGCTGCACCGAAAACGTATCAACAGCCTCTTATTCGCTCGCGTATAGATACGGATCTCTATCTACGAATTTTCTTCGGGATTGTTTAGAAGTCGCGTGTAAGCGTCGCGAGTTACGAGGTGATCGTACTTTTATGGAGTGTTCTCTTATCTCGTTTGCCGTCTATTTAATCGGCCGTCATTTATCGCCAGCTTCGAGAGACGGTGACTTAGCGAAACAAAATCGAATTATGTATGCCACGGGCACAGCTTGGTACGAATGTTGCGAATAACACGGTGAAAGCGTGATTTCTCCAATTTGCAGAAAATAACAATACGTTTTTGAAATCTTATAAACGATACTAACAACGAACAAACGAAACGAAATTTCGAAAATTTAGTTTCTAAATTTAATTAGGATATTCCTTTTTTACAAATTTAGATTCCTTTCAAGCAGTTCACGATTTTGATCGTAAAATAACTTTTAATATACCATCCGATAAAGTTTCTGGTAAAACATTTTCATTCTTTTTCTCGGAATAATTCGTGTTATATTCTCCTATAATTTTTTATCGTGTAAAGAAATTTTCACGTTATAATTACAAATGTATCTGGAGCGGATACTTTCGCTGTACAATATTTTCGAAATATCTACCAATTCTAGTATTCGGATATCGTTATTATTTATATCCAGTTAAATTTCACAAAATTATCACGATAAAACGTGTACGTGTTACAATCACATTTAGTTGCAGGCAATTACGATCCGCAAGGTGCAGTCACGTGAGAACGGCTTCGTCGCAGCGAGCGAGATTAAATAGGAAGGCAAAAGCCGATTAAAACTCACCTGTTTTCTCCTTGATCTCGCAAAGAACCGAAAACAGGGCTGGCTTCATTCTGTGGCAATTGAGCGTATGTTTCCTGCAAGGGTAAAGAAAATGCGTGTAACGTACACCGAAAGGAAATTGAGCGAAAAAATGTGTATCGCGATTGGAATACGAAAATAACGTGAACCAGCACACGGTGACGTATTCGAACGAAAGAAGCGAGCACGTTTTGGCAAAGTTACACGATCGTGGACCAATAGTACAAAGATAAACGCGGTCTTATCACGCTCGCGAACGCGTGTATACAATCTACGTTACAGCTTGTCACTATCGCTACACCTACCATACTCGTCACTCAACAGTTTACTAGAAGCTATAAAATCTCGAGAAGCATCGTAAAAATAATGTTTACTTCCTCCGGACGAATTTGTATCGCAGCGTCGTAAGACGTTTGTTTCACGGCGATCAACATAACCTGCTTTTCATTACAGTTTCCAACGATACAACGAACGCGACGTTAAACCATCGAATGAAAATTAAACGTATCATCGAGGAAATAGAACGTTCGCGTACAGGTGAAAAATAATGAGCCAATCGTGAATTCGCGAAAGAGTTGACGCAGAAAATTGCAAAGATAACGATGTATCTTTAGGGTATTAAAAATGGCGGCTGATTGGATGTCGAATGGGACCGTACCTCGCTTGCGCCTCGTCCAAACTTTGATCTGTGATGTTCATAATTTGTTGTAAAATTTCACTGATGTCTTGTTTCCTTGCCTCCACGGCCTGGTCCGGACCTTGCGTCGCAGTTCCATCTACGGGTCCCATGCTACCGTATCCGGCGGTATTTTGGGCCCCCTGGCCCTGGTTCCCTCCCATCAGACCAACACCTGATCCTCCGTGTTGCAGCATCCTGCCAGTTTCATCCATCAACTGTAGACTGCAGCACTAAGAATATTATCCGTCGCCTTTCTCGCCTTCTCTTTTTATTCCCGTCGCAGGAGTGAATTTGTTAACACAACACTCGCGGACGTGTATCGTATACCAGGTGTCGCGCAAAAACACGACTGTACAAACAACCGTCCCGCTCTTTCACTTTCTTCAATTACGATTTCTCTGTATATACCTCGAAGAAAATATGTATGTACGCGTTCCTCTCATGCACGTGCTCTTTCTCTCTCTCTTTTGTACACGCGACACTTCATACGAAAGCACCGGGCAGGCATGCACTTGCAAAAATATAATCTCTTGTAAACGATCTACCGAACTCTTCGAGAAAACGAACGTGATCTACGAGGTTGGGATAGATGCTCGTAACGCGCGGCACGATCCGCTTGGAGGTTATGCCGCCGTGGCCTTTGTCTCTTACGTATCGTTTGGCGTTTTAACTCGCTTTCGCTTCTCTTTCTCGGTCTCTCTTTCCGTTTCGCGAGTTCCCTCTTTTTCTCTCTTTCCCTTCGTCGATGCCCTTCGTTATCCTTTTTACTTCTGTTCGCTTCCCTTTCGTTCGTTCGTTCGTTTTCCCTCTCGCGCTCGTGATGTACCTCCGTAGTCCGTAGCTTGGGAACACTCGCGTTGCGTTTAATAAGCGGTTTTCTATTCGATATACACACTACGGGGGATGATGAAAATGGTGCCTTCGGCAGCTTTTAAACTTGACGGATTGTCGGATTTTACGTATACGCGGTTGTATCGACGGTCGGCGTCGCGCCCGGTCCGCACTCTCCTTTCACTGGTCCTTTTCCTCGGCTCGGTAAGAATACTCGTACAAGCTGAGGAAAATCGGCGTTCTTCGAGCCATCCGCGCACGGACGTCACACACCAACTCTCCGCCTTACAAGGCAACGCGCGGACCGACCGTTTCTGTCGCTCTTTTCACTCTTCTCGGCCGCGAGCGACTGCTACGCTCCTGATACGTGCGCGTGTTCGTGCGTTCGTGTACGAGTCGAGGCTCCGTGTGCGTGCGTTCGTGTGCCAATCGGCGGCCATAACAGCCGC